AGACTTGTGTCTCAGAGGAAGATAGCAAAGATTACGCTTCAAGAATTCAAAATATTAAATTAAAACAAGACAACAGGAAAAAATTACAGAAGAGACTTTATTTGGTACACAATTTGTCTTATGATGCTTTCATCACAAAAAAGAGCAGAAAACGAATGTGATTCTGTGCATTAGCTCTCTAGTCACAGTTTTAACATGATACTTCCTAAATGGAACAATTAATAAGAACAAAAATATAAGCATGCATGCAACTGAATGAGTATATTTTTATAATAGTACCATATATGGCATGTATTCTATCTCATGATTCCCGGCAGACCAAATCCAGGGCTGATATGCAGAACTTTTTTCAATAAAACGGCCCCATGTATCCCAACGCACTCCAACATCGTGATATTGATATCTATCAGCGTAAGAGAGATCTCCAACAAATAAGACAGTCTGCCCTTCGCTCTGGATATAATGTTCAAGAGTGGAGAGAGAATTGAATGTTTGGCCCAAATCACCTGAAATTGACAGAAAGGATAAATGAAAATGAGAAAGGTCTTGAATGACAATGTTAGAAAAGTAATGGAGAAATAAAGCACAAAGAATAACATATAAATAGACACTACTATATAAAAAATGCTGAAAGAAAAAGTTACCTTAGGAAAGAGTTAAATAAATAGACTAACATATAAATTAATTTCTGGTCAGAAGAAAAGTAGAAAACTACTAACCTATAATACCAAATTTGTAAGATGTATCCGGTCCAACTTTTGGAGGTGTTTGAAACCAAAACTTCCTTGAAGAATCACCATTTCCAATCTCATAGTAATACTTTCTGTCATGCTAAAAAACAAAGTTACATCATCAGTCGGAAGTGAAAAATATATAGTCAATTTAACATATTGTCAGAAAATGGAAGTGTGATGACAATAATATTGTTAATGGCACTAAGCAAAAGTTAATACTTGGTGAAAAATTCCTCCCATAATGGTTAATAAAGTCAAGCTGTCTTAACTATACAAACTTAAGATATCAATCTGATGTTTAATGATTGAACAAATGCAACTGTATAAATGATTTGGAAGGAAGCAAATGATTGTGCAGTGCCTACTCATGTACCGATATACAAACATCATATCATTACCATGCTACCGTGTAAGTATACATTGGTAAATTAAAATTTTAAAAATAAATACATCAGGCCATGCATTTCATTAAACTGAATCATGTCAACAAACAAAGAAATACTGCACCTAAGCAGCAATAGGGAGATTAAATTGCATGCCCACACACACATTTCAAACTAATATCAAATAATCCTTCATATAATGAGAATCCAGTGTTTCATTCAATTTCAAAGAATTTAAAGATCCAATTTTGAATCTCATGACTCAATGCACAATTACCTCGAGGCCACCAACAAGGCATTGATGTATAAAGCCAGACTTGTAATTGTAAAATGTGTAGTTTGTATATGTGCCCTCTGCTGTGAAATCATACTTCCCCTCAGATAAGCCATAGCGTACTTGGCTAGACCCTGGTTCATCAGGAGTGACCCAGGAGATTATGACAGCCTTCCCATCATAGTCACCCTGTGTAATGTGAACCTACAGCAGAGCCACTCAAGTATTTCAGAATCTTATGAAAACCATAGATGGTTTTATTTTTTAATGAAACACCACTATATTGCTGGAAAAAAATAATAATAATAATAATAAAAAAAAAAAAAAAAAAAAAAAAAAAAACTCTCTCAATCAAGTTCCAACAGCAATTATTCTGCAATAGATTGATTATGAAACATAGAGTTTGAGAGACTTGTCTTGGGCAATCAAGAATTTCAAGCATCTTTCAAGTTGTGAAATGGTATGCACAACAGTCTAATGGTAAGGATCCACTCCAAACTCATCCACACTAGTGTATGGACTTAACCAAGATACATAGAATGCTTATAATTAAATAAAGCATTGTTCATCTAAGGTTCCAAATCAGGAATGATTTGCATTTAAAATATTGGCTAAATGCATTATCCGAAGTCCAAACCTAGTCTGGAATAGTCTAGAGAAAATAGTTTCCTGCCAAAATACACTAGATGACTGCTAGTAATGTCCTTTTCTTATCTTCATTCAAAAACTAACAGTAAACGTTTAACATTTTTCTTTTCTGCAACTTCAAATCCTACAGAGTGAGCAACATTCAAGTGAAACTCTCTCATGGAGATCATATTTCCACCAAAATGCTATTAGTAATCAAGATTGATAGAAATGTGCATGGCAAATGATTTGGTGAAAGTGCAGAACTGATTAACAATAAGCAATCACAAACTTACTTGCTGTGGTGCATTAGGACCTTTAGGGACTGCAAAGGCCTTATTATCAAGAGGAATATCCACTGATGGCCACTCAGAACGAAAAAATCCACTTGTCATCCCAGCACTTCCATTTTCTATGAAGCTCAATAAAAGAGAGAAGAAGAACAAAAGGTGAAGCAACATTGTATCTGCCTCCTTATCTTTCATACCCCAACCTATCAATGAGACAACCTCAAAGATACATTCTAAAACTCACTGCATCCATGAAGAAGAACAATGTGTCAATCAACAAAGAAAATCTATCCAGTATCCACCTACAAATCTTTCAAAACCATGTAGGTGATGTTTGGTAGAGATATTAAGATAATGGACTAAATATTATACTCTTTACATACTTGGCAACTATCATTGATTGCTAACACTTTCTAGATCAGTTAAGCAAACAATACAAACGTCACCATGCAGTTAATCAAATACTGAATTATTTACAATCATACGCCATAATCAGAATTCCTAGTCAACAGCTTCATCCAGCAGAACTATCGTTTCTTCTGTGGCAAAAACAATCACATAAGTCTAATACAAACTTCCAATGCATCTCAGATCCATTCTCCACAGAAACAAATTTTGACAAGCCTGCTCGATCGGTAAACAATTCATCCTCGACATGCTTGACAAAGCATATGAGTTATAAATTGTACAATACTTTCAGCTCATTCGAGCCAGTAATCCACAAACAACTTATTAGTATCAATTATCGATTATTCGCACTGGTCAGAATTCATAATTCATATTCCATAATCATAACCATTAGAAGCGGGATGAAAACAAAATTAACAGAATACGGAATTAGATAGTCCTCAATACCTGAACTTGATAGAATTTGTATCACATCAAAGTAAAATGAATAAACAGAGAGAGAGAGAGAGAGAGAGAGAGATGAGAATGTGTACCTGAAAGGATGAAATTCGGTTGGTGGAGAAATGAAGGAAACAGCGGAACTGATCCGAAGATTAGCTTTTGAGAGGGAGTGTGTTATATAGCGATGGCGAAGAAGCTAAGTAAGTGGCGGTAAGAATGGAGGAGTGGGTTAGAAGGGAGAGGAAAGAGCAGTGTCGGGATGGATTCCCATTTTCGAAGGGAAGTGACGCAACGTGGCGTTATTCCATCGGCGTGGTATACCCAACCCCAGTCGGCCAGACAAATTGAATTGTGCCCAAGATAAATAATACTCCGTGTATATTTTATTTATTGTATCTTTCTAGGGTACACCTATGATACTTTTTTATATAACAAAAATATTCTATACAATTATACTCAATTGACACGATAAAAATTATTTCTATTTATATTCATTCCATTATTCCAAAAATAGATGATAAAACTATAAAAGGGTAAAATGAACTATTAAGTATTTACTAGTCAATAACCAGTTTGGTTGACGCGAATATTTACTTAAGACACCTATTCTAATATTGTTACATTACTTTTAACTAGTATTTTCACCCGTGCGTTGTACGGAATAGATTTATTGCAATATATTAAAAATATTTGGATTGATATATAATTATTTAAATTAGAACATCAAATATTATATAGTGCAATTGAATGTATGGTTCGGATCGTTTATGTGTTTTTATGTTATTATTAGTGCTTGAATTTGAGCAAATAATTGCTCAAATTAATAGCTAATGTGTAGATGTACGCATGCGGTGCTGTAACTTTAGAGATTTTATTTATCATTGTTCAGTATTTTTATAAATTAGGCAAATATGTTCGTCCTCTAGCAACTCAGTTATAAAAATGAATTGATATCATAATTCATCTGTATGGAAAATATATTTTTTGTCTAGATATATAGCAATTTTATCATTTAAAAAACATAATATCACCAATTGTATTTACACATGATTGAAACCTCTTTGTAGACAACATTGATAGTAGCAACACAATCTTATCCATCTTCGTCTAGAGCCTAGAGCTATCACCTTCAGTCAATCAAGATAGGTGACTCCGGTGAAAATATATAATGATAGAATATCAGTCAATTAGTGATCCTTTTATATTTTCAGTCAATTAGTAATATCAAATTCATTTTCAGTCATTTATTCTTTTTTATTTTCAGTCAAAATTAGTCAATTAAAATATTAGATGCAGTGATATTTTTACCTAATTTTCGTTCCATTTTTAATTGATGATGTAGAATATTTTTAATGAAATATTTTCGTTCTATTTTTAATTTACCTTTACTATTGTTTAAAATAAACATTTACTACTGGTGACGTAGAATATTATTATTGAAATATCTTCGTTTAAATTTTAATTTCCGTTCCATTTTTAATTAAAATGCAATAAGCTGGCAATTTCTTTTTTCATTTTAGTCAATAATGGATCATTTTTTATTTGTAGTCAATTATTAATATTCATTTCCTTTTATATTTTCAGTCAATTAGTAATATCATATTCATTTTCAGCTGATTATTCTTTTTTATTTTCTGTCAATTAGTCAATTAGAATATCAAATGCAGTGATATTTTTACCTAATTTCCGTTCCATTTTTAATTGATGATGTATATATCTTTATTCAAATATTTTCGTTCCATTTTAATTTTCGTTCCATTTTTAGTTTATCTTTACTATTATTTAAAATTTGTCTTTACTATTGATGGTGTAGAATATTATTATTGAAATATTTCCTTTCGATTTTTAATTTACCTTAACTTGATGATGTAGAATATATATATATATATATATATATATATATATATATATGTGTGTGTGTGTGTGTGTGTGTGTGACGACATATATACACCCACACACGTGCACTATTTTTTTTTAGTTAGTCGCATAGGCGTCCTACTCTACCGTCCGACTAGCGCCTAGCGCATATTGCAACCATGATCTTGAATAAGCCAGTGATGGAATAAATGATTTAGTTACGTGACCGTTCACCTTCTTCGGGTGGTTTCGGTCGGGTTGGGTGCCTTTTCCATTATTCTGTGACCAATATTTTTGTATGCATAAAACAATTAAATTGCAAACAATTTTGTAGTTTACAAGTGGAAAAAAAAAACTGAATAGACATATTTTATAATTTTCAAATGAAAATGAAACTTGAGAAGTTTTGACAAATAATAATAATAATAATAATAATAATAATAATAATAATAATAAGTAATTAAAAAAAAATCGCTCATACACTCAATATGATGAGAATATAATTGTGTTGTATCCAATCATAATGTCTGAGAGTACAGGGAGCGAATATATAGAGATGCTAGATAGAATCCTAGCAAAACCACTGGTAGATTTTCGATCATCAGGATTGCCAGCCCAATCGGAATCAGAATAAGCATGAATATTCAGAGAGGGAGAGGAAGTAATTTTAAGACCGAGATGTAGTGTCTCATTTACAAACCGTAACACCCTCTTGAGAGCCGCCTAATCCGCAGTGGAGGGAGAGTGCATGTGCTGACACAAACGATTGACTGCATAGGAAAGATCAGGACGAGTTACCGTAAGATATTGTAGAGCACCTGCAAAGCTGCGATACTGAGTGGGATCAGCATATGGCACCACGGCACCAGTCTCGGCCTTCGCGGTTGAAACCAGAGTGGCCACGAGCTTGCAATCAACCATACCTGCCCGTTTTAAAATATCCTTCATGTATCGTTGTTGAGACAGAAGCATGCCACCAGACAACGGAATAGTCTCAATACCCAGGAAAAAAGAGGGCACTCCCATAAGATCAGTCACATGAGCCGAATCAGAATCCATAACCAAAATATCATCCACATAAACCAGAAAATATAGACGAGTATTGCCATGTGAATATATAAATAAAGATATATCAGTCTTGGAAGGTGAGAACCCAACAGAAACCAGAAAAATCATGCAAACGTGTGAACCAAGCACGGGGAGCTTGCTTAAGCCCATACAAAGAACGTTGAAGGAGACAAATGTGCCCGGGCATCGTTTTGTCTTCATAGCCAGGGGGCTGACGCATATAAACTGTCTCAGCGAGATTGCCGTTTAGGAAAGCATTGTGTATGTCTAGCTGTCGAATAGTCCATCCACGAGAAATAGCTAGGGATAAGAGAAGACGTACCGTAGTCGGTTTAACAACGGGACTAAAGGTCTTAAAGAAATCCTCACCGGCAATCTGATTGAATTCCTTGGCAATTAACTGAGCCTTGTAACGCTCAATCGAACCATCAGCCTTTCTCTTGGTTCTAAACACCCACTTACATCCAACTACATTCATACCTTATTAAGGGAACATGCCTCCATGTATTGTTGTACACCAAAGCATTAAATTCCAAATCCATTGCATCCCGCCATTCAGGAAATTTAACCGCTTGAGTAAAACATGTAAGCCCAAGAGTAACAGTAGCAGATAAAGAACCATGATCATGTGGTCCCAAACTTCTCGTATTAATTCCATGAGAGCGAACGGGTAAGGGCGTGGGACGAGACCGACCACGAGGCCGGGCTCTTGGCCGAGGAGCCGGTTGGTCCGTGACTGTCCGCTCGGACCCGGTCACGGGCTCGGCAGTAGCAAGCTACTGGCGGTGGTGGTCAGAAGCGGCTATGGGTGCGGCAAGAGGGTCACGAGCCGTGACAATAGTCAGATCACCACCAGAAACAATTGGTGCAACACCCCACGGCTAGGGGTGGAAATAGGCCAGGCCGAGCCAGGCTTTTAAAAATTAGGCCTGAGCCTGCTATAGGAATTTAAGGCCTGAGCCTGGCCTGAGCTGGTATGTAGGCTTTTTTTTAGGCTCAAGTCTGAGCCTACCATTAGCCTGGCCTGGCCTGAAGCCTGTTTAATTTAAAGACTTGAAAAAATTCATTGGTAAATCAGTGGATAAACAATAGGGTGAAAGCTTTTGTTTCAAACTAAAAAGTAATTTGTATAACAATAGGGTATAGTAAGAAGAGAAAAGAGAATGAAATAGATGTTGTGAATAATCTCAAAAAAATATCCCAATACACTACAAATTCCCAATATATATGTGGCTAGGGATTTATTTCAACCACATACTCCATTTTATAAGAAATAGATCCCTACTAACATAATTATAATTAACAAACTGAAACAAATAATATTATCCTTCCTGCAACTTTCTAGTCTTCCCTCCTCTTCTCTTCTTGCTTCCATTAGCCTCTATGTTGTAGTGGTCAGACGCATTTGTATCGCAAAAATACTCCGGCTACAGGCTACGGTGAAAAAAAAAGGGTCAAGCCCCCACTCCTACAATCACCATAATTTACAAATACAATATCAGACTAACCTGTTGTCGCCGCTCATTGTCGAAGATAGGATGAAGTCATCGCGGACTCGCGGTCTTAAAGTGTCCCTGCGTTCGATAGATGTGTGCGGCGTGCGGCGTGTTGCGTGAATGGATGTATGGAGACGACTCACAGTCTTCAAGTCTCCCTGCGTCCGATGGCTGTGTGCTGCGTGCGGTTTGTTGCGTGAATGGATGTATAGAGGAGTAGCAGAATATGAAGTAATTTTGGGGCTAGGTTTTCTAATTCATGTATTATAGTTAGGTTTTCTATAATAATAATAATAATAATAATTGATGGGGTGTGAACCCCGTGGGCTCGGGGCCCAAGAAGAAAAGAGATAAGGCCCAGACAAAGAAGGGAAGCCCAAGAAGAAAATGGAGCAAGCCCAAAAGAGATACGGGTCAAACCAAGGAGTCGGCTCGGTCCAGGAGTCGGCGGCGAGTGTGGAATCGGCACGGGTGTAGGGTCGGCCTAAAACTAGCCGTTAGCCCATTTACTACCCTATTATTACCCCACTCATTACCACTAGTCAAATATCTAATTATTATTATTATTATCCATAACCCCCCACTTAAACCCTTACTTACTACCCTAATTATCACCCATCACTACCCTACTAAATGTCCAACGGACACTTTTGGGGATGGGCTAGCTATAAAAGGAGGAGAAGACAAGAAGAAAGGGGATCCATTCACTCATCCACACACATGGGGGCACTCTCCCACAATCACTCTCCATTCATTCAAGCAAGAAGACCACATGAAGAAGATTCCATTCTTGAGCACAATGGAAGACCCCATCACTCTTCCTACGCCACTCTTCCACTCTCACTCAAGAAGACTCCATTTTTACTAGAAGAGAAGTTCCAATACATGAAAGAAAGAGAGGCAACCACATTCTTACATCATACACTCTATACAAATACATGTACAAATACCTACAAAAATAGTGAAAGTCTTTAGGCTTGGCACCGCCCAAAAAGGCCCGTGGTTTTCCTTTCGGTTTCCACGTACAAAAGCATCAAGTTATATTTTCTACTTATTTTCCTATAAGCCGCATGTGAAAGGTGAATCCACCGACCAAGGTTGTGTTGGACCTCCCTGGGCCCGAAAACCCAAAAACCAACACTGGCGCCGTCTGTGGGGATCGTGACAAAAAGTCGCGTTACCTCTTTGTCTGAGCAATTTCGGAGAGCGTCCGGTGAAAAAAATGATTCACTACGGACGGAAGATGGAGAAGGTTCACGGAGAATAGTGGACCAAGAAGAGAACTAGAGGAGAATCAAGCAATGAAAACTGCATATGGATATCTGAAAGAGTATGGACTCGGACTCGGATGTGGAGAATGAAGAGACAACTCCGACGATTCGGACGAGCATGCTGACTTGCCACTGCACCACAATAAAATAAGAGGGGTACGTTCATAAAGTGAAATATTTGCATTCAAATTCAAAATTATGAGTTATTCACTTATAGAATTTTTTTTGGGAGTAACGCATTATTATAAGAAATATTTGCTATTCATTTACATGCATACTAAATGTTGTTTTAAATATTATACGTGGCAATGCTTTGGTGAGAGTCATGTGGTATGAGATCATCCATAAAGCTAAATGGATTATTTCAAAGCTGACTCCTGCACGTGGAAGGTCTTGGTGTATTCTGCACATTGCCCCAGACACAAGAAGTGCACTCGGCTAAAGAACATGCGAAAGGAAAAATGCCAGAATGTTGGTAAATTCAAGATCAGCAGGGAAGGCAACAACCTGGATTTGGTGTTCCAAACCGGAAACATTATGTCAAGTAGCAAATTCCAAGACCATTTGGTCTCCAGTAAGCTTGCTATGGGTAAGGAAAGGGGAAAGTTATGTCCACCTTTCCAGAAGAGTTCTTTTAATCTTCTCTCACTATATAATGAGGAGAATCATGCATCATGTACGAGGCCAAAGGAAGGCCTGTGTAGCATTATATGAGCAAAAGGCATAAAAATGGGTAATAGCCCGAGACCATCTGTTGGAAGCGAGACATTAAAGAAGTTGACTCCATGTAAACGAACGAGGGCGGAATCGCGCCGGAGCCGCCAATTATAAGTTTGTTTCACTCAAATTGCGATAAAAAGAACAGAGCGCAAGTGGAGTCCTCGGCAGCCGCAGATGTACTGACTCCGAGGCGAGGCCGTCGGCGGAGGAAATCAACGATATGAGCGGCTTGACCACGCCCGCTTGGGCAATTTTGATTTGATTCCAGGCTTATTCATCGCGAGGAGTTAGATTTCCATCGCGGCTTACTTCTATTCGTGGATTGATGTCGACTGAAGATGGCACACCAGTTCCTGAAACAATCTGCCGAAATTATGAGTAGTCGTCGACTCTGAGAGGAAGTCGGCAGAAAATAATTGAGGAAGCGGCCATCATGTGGTCGAGAAACTCATGCATCCATGGAGTCGGCGATAGAGTCGGACTCGGAGGCGGCGTAAAAATCAACTCAAATACAAGAAGGGCCCCACCCACACTGGTAACTTGTTGGAAAGGCACGTGATGCGAAAAGGTTGAAGGCCGAGTCCTCTGGTTCGCTGCATATATAGGCTTTCACGATCACCCCGCCGAGTCCGTGGAGGAAACACTCGAACTTGGATGCGACGATGAGAGATGAAAGAATAAAGGCGACTCCGACTCCGACAAAATAAGCTTTAGCAATCGTTGTCGAGCACGCCCACAAGCCCGACACCTTCGTCGGGTAAACCACCAGACAACTGTCGAACTGAAAAGGAAGCATTAAAGGAATAAAAGCGTTCATGGCTGTTCCGGTTCTCATGGTTGTCACCGAGTTCGTCGAGTCCGCATTAGTTCACGCATGATTTAATTGTTAAGAACAGTCTCGTGTCGACACTCCCTTTGCCGACCGCTTGCTTCTCAGTCGGCTGAAGTCTACACCAAAATCGCCGTCTGACTCGGAAGCCAGCGGGCATATCCAAGTATATTCGCCGAAGAGCTTGCCTACATAACCGGCGAAGAAAGTCAAGCCTGTCGACTCCCATGCACAAAGGGATTATGGAGATGCTCTCACCGACTCCTTCTTCTCCAAACAGCGACTAAGGGTGATTCTTGAATCAGTGTCACACCGGTGGAGTCGGATGTTGCTCTCTTTCCTGACTCGTCCCAAATTAGGAATCGGACTCGGCGGTAAGGATGAAAGAAGCGACTCGAACTCAGACAATAGGAATGAAGCCGGCTACTCGCCCACCGCCGAGCTGCCTCCGCTGCCAGCTATCTCGATCGCATCATCCGTCCAAGCAGTCGGCCACTTGCGACGAGCAGAGAAGTGAAGAAAATGGTCAGGTTATCCCGGAGCCCCCGCGATAGTCAGTCGGCACTCCTACAAAGCTTTGTCGTGCAAGTATGAGAAAGAATAAGCATAGCCACCCCCAAGGAGCTCAAGCATGTCGACTCCCCTCCTCTCTGTAAAAATGGCAACTCGGACCAGGATACCCAGCTCCTGCCCTCGCTCGGTCGACGACCTCTCTGGAGCCCGAGAGTCAACCACAACGGCTCTGCCCTCCATTCTCTCATCTAACCCATGCGGTATTCGGAAGATAACCAAAGACGAAAGAAGAAGCGACGATGATGGATTCGGCACGGTGGTTTGATAAAAATCCCAGTCAGGCTTCTCTGCCTCAGCCTTCGGATAGTTGTCACCCCCATTTGCGGCTCTACTTCACTAAGCTACTGAAAATCCACGGCTCGAGGCTGTCGTATTTCGCCACTACTTACTTTGCGGCTAGGGTCCATTTCGATTCACGGTGATGAAGCAGCACTATATCAATTCTATTTCAGAGGAATTCTTGGTATCATGCAGAAGAGTGTTCAACCTAATTCCCTTCTTCGTAAAAGCGAAAATCGGCATGCCTGCAAAGAGGAGGAGCCGAGTCCTCAAAATCGCCCTCATTTCCGACTCCGACTCCGATGACTTGGGAAATGAGAATATAGCCTCAACAAGTACATAACAGTCGAGCGTTGGGGAAGAAGCATCCTGTCCAAAATTTTCAACCAATTTCTATGTATTGGTTTCAGACTCGTCCAGCCTCGCTCCTGATTGACTCGCCAAATGATGCGTATGACACCACCACCGAATCTTTTGATTGCTGACGCGGAAGGGTCGGATGATGAATCGCCGGAGACATTGATAAAGTCGTACGCCAGACCTTGCATACGAAGAATCCTTCTTTCGAGTACATGTATGCATGGAAAATGCCAAGCCTAGAAAGCACGGGTACATCCAGTTGAGGGAAAGAAAGTAAGGAAAAGACAAGTGGCGAATAAAGGGATCGGACTCGGGCAATAAGGATGGAAATCTAGCTGGACACGCAGTTCTAGATGATTTTCTAAAAATTCTCATATACAAGGGCTGTCTCAAGGCGCAATCTTGGCATACATTAAATTCAACGCTGAGGAGATTCAGAAATTCAATTGCGTAGGATTGGTAAAAGCCATGGGAAAAATAAGGAGGCCAGGGTTCAACTCTTCTCACCCTAACATTCATATTTTTTCTCATAAAAAACA